ACAAGAGAAGCACGAGCTTGTAAGTTATTCCCATAATAAAACTTTGACTTGGACTTTGGCTACTTGTGATTTGCGTCTGTTCCGCCTACAACATAAGTCTTATTAGCATTCGCTGACAGCAACATATTGACACGGTACGCAATCAAACTGGATGCCTTGCGAAGGTGTTACAATGCGATAAGGGTATAAAACGACCGGGTGATTTGTTGCGTAAAGCAATGCATTCACATTAGGCAAATGCCACAAACGACAGGCAAACAATTTTCTTCGTATCCAACAATAACAAAAGTTGAGCAGGTTGCAAACCGTTAACGATCCATCAAGGATCTCTTAAATGAACCAAGTGTTTATCGAATAAGGAATTTAGTTTTGATCATCATCATATGATGATGATCAAAANTGATCAAAATGATTTTTAATATTATACAGACTTGGAATACGGTGAAGTGAGTTTTACTGTGAAATTTGGTAAATCTGATGAAATTTTATTTTGGATTAATTAGACGATAACAATATAAATGAGCTGTTTAGCCAGTGTAGCAGAATAGTAACTAGGTGTATGTTCATTTATGTCTAAGGGCAAACAGGTGACATTACTACCACTACTCACAAGTAACTGTGAGTTAAACTTGAAATATCGATCCAGCCTTGTAGATTCGTTGGCGAATCAGTCCGTACCTGCAAGGAAGTCCTGACTTAGTAGGAGGATTTTGATTGGAGTTAACAGTATGTCATCTGTGTCTCCCTTCGTTACCGTCGGGCCACTCCGAACTGACTATCACTGAAGACGACACCTGAACAAACATGAATTGGCAATTTGGTTCAGCCATGGCATGAGCTGGTTGGCGCAGTGGTAACGCACACGCCTTCCATGCGATGGGTCCGGAGTTCATATCCCGGACGGGACAGTGGATATGCACTACTGTTGAGCTCTAATAAGAGCGAAACTCGAGTCTAGTGCTTCCGAGTGTATGTATGGTTGAATCGATGAAATGAGGATTGTGCATGAAAGTGAAGTCCGAAGGATAGTCAGCTCAAATTATTGAAAAAAGACATTAAAAACGTCCCCACTGGCTTATTCATGAAAATAAGGAAATTATTTCAATGCGAAGATCCATTGATTAATCAATAATTCTAATGTCTCTTCATTGAACAAAACATTTATTACCCGTTGACTGCTGTATTCGGGTTTTATTTTAATCGGTGCATAAATAAATCCACTATTTTTACATTTCTTTTTTCCCACAAGAAAACCCTGAATCTGTGATTCTGCACATGTTATTCATACTAGTAAGCAGCTTTCATGTGTAAAAAGGAGGGGTTATACAAAATGTCACAAAGACGACAACACATGGACTTACGTTCACAATGTTCCAGAAACTGAATACAGTCCAACAATACCGCATCCCTAAGAAGTATCATGTGTTTGGCCATATTCTCAATTAGTGACAGGAAGCAACGCTTGGCATAGTACCTATCGAAAAGGAATTTTTCGAACGCACTTCAATGATTGAAACAAAAAGAGGAAACTCCAAATAACTGTCAAATCTGAGTGAGTTTTTGATAAGGTTTGACCTTATGG